ATGACCAGATTGCCCAACATGCGTCATTAGCAGCACGCAACAAATTTGAAGAACCTGAACTGAGACTTGACCCTGAAGATGCTAGACAGAGACACAAATGATCCACTAACTGTGATGTTTTAGCATGGTCCAAAACCTGTTTTAGTGTTTCATTAACCCCAGGAGGAGAAACTGCGTCAGGATGAAAAGTTGTAGAACATGTTTTCAAATCCTGAGCTGCTGCAGATAATATGGCTGAAATGCAAGCACACGACTCAGACATAATTCTTCCAGACGCATCGTCGTTCCTCCCAATAACCTATATATTGGACAAGATATGGAAACTGATTGCAGGAAATATGTTGTCAGAGATAAATATATACCATACAATAGTTATTACCTGTGAGAAAATTTCGACCAAAGCAACCCAGTGCCTGAAACTTGAATTTGAAATACTGCTTCCATTATTATCTACCAAAATTTTAACAATAGAAAAGCTCTGCAAAGTTTGCAAGGAATGACATGCAAGGTTAGCCAGTGCTTAGACCAAACAAGGTTGAGGAACAAATAGTTCAGTAAAGAGTTTCTGGTTAAATATTTTCAGCTCTCCAATCATTCAAAGAATTTGTAAAGAAACAGACAAAAAACCTCCACGGAGGCAGACAAAATTTTCTGAGAAATGAAACATTTTTGGACAAGAAAAATAAAAAAGAGGTAACATATCATAATGCTGCCAGGCTGATACAGTTGTCAAAAATTTGCCAATAAGTTGTTTGTGCCTAGAGATTTCAAAAATTTAAAAAAAAAATTGCAGTCAACAAAAGTACAAAACCAGCACAACAGCAGGGAAAGTAAAACTGTCATAGATCCTAGTCAGCACCTCACAGACAGGTTATCCTAATCTGATCGGTTACTCTTTAGTTTAAATTTAAATTCAGATGTCTATTCTTTGTGAACGTCAGTTTTGTGACATCAGTCTCATTCTCCAGTTCACCTTTCTAGTTATCACCAGCTATGTATGTTGTATGTTAGAATAATCTTGTCAAACATGCTATTCTTTTGGAGCAGAACCTATTCCAAAGGTAATAGTTTTTTGCATTCTAGTTGTGAGCTATAAAAGACTGTTCTGACATAAATAAAATTATGCAGAGAAAGAAAGAAAGTTCAAGAGTATCTTTTACTCTTTGAGATCTTTGTTCTCTCTAATGAGCCCAAGCTTTTAAGTCAATATAGAGTAGAAAGAAGAAAAGATCAGAAACATTTAAGTGTTTCCCAATCTAATAATTTAAAGCAAGCTGCTATAACCAGATCAGGCAGGCAAGAGCATACTAAAAAGTCAGAGATTTTGATATTCACAGAGGACCAAACTCAAGTGAAATGCCAAAGGGGCATGACAAGTAGAGTAAAAACCAACTCGAGAGCAAGAATACACCAAATGTAAATTTAGTAACATACCTTTGCCATCAAGTCATTGACATCCGATGACTTCAAATTGACCATAACAGCAGTGAAATCAAGAAGTACATGAATTGCTTCATCAACAAGCCCACTAGAGTTGATTGCCCTAGCCACAACTAAGTTGGAAAGAATTCTCAGTGACTGGGCGGAGTTCAAAAGATCTTGATCCCTGCACATTCGAGAAGCCATTACATCTTGCAAGTAAATCTTGAAACCCGTCTTCACTCGTTCTTCAAGAGTCTTATACAATAAGTGAATGCTAAATATTCATAAAATATTTAGACAAACAAGATTCCCATACATACCGTTGTTTCTCAGAACTCTGACACATTGAGTGTCTTAGCAAGTCACGTCATAAAAAACAAAACTAAACATCCCACATACTCATGTTACATAAGTCCTCCACCTAATCTTTTTAGATGCTTTAGAACTGTTGGATAACTTGTATCTTTTTTCAGAAATAGAATATGAACAATAATGAATCTTATCTATGCACCTAATCATAAATATGATACTTTGGGGTCATATTACATATCCAATGTACAAATTTATCTGGCTAAAAATCTTGTGGAAGCATGAAAAAAAAAACATTCTCGCAGTGCCTGACACATTATATCATCTGTTTTCCAAGACCATGGTGTCTACACTCCCATGAAAATTACAAATTCTGAAAACATGTCTTATCTGAAATCCTTGAACAAAGAAGTGAAAACGAGAAAATGAATCTGTTACATTGAAATGGAATTAAAAATTTCAAAACCAAAGTTTCATTCTATATCAGTGTGTACAAAAATGCATCTTGTTTATTTAAGTGAAAAGTCACAAATGTGATCAGTGGCATGGTGATTCAAATGAAATTCTATAAATAGAAGCTAGAAATGTAAAATCATATTAGTTACTACCAATTTGCGAAGTTTTGATAAACAAGTAATGACATGTTTTCACCTGCCAGAGTTTTGAGATCCTTTTGACCATCTTTTCATGGGTGCCAGAACAAGAGCCAGTGCTTCACTATCTTGTCCAATAATTTGTGCACCCTTAACCGTGCGGGAGTTATTCTCTAATCTGTCTAAAATTTGGCTACCTGAAGAAACAAAGTTCATGTACAGAATAAATAAATATGAAAACCTTCACTTCCCACATAGACTTGCTCGAAAGATAGAGAGGGAGCAGGTCAGTAATGGAATGGAATGAAATAAAATGAAATTGAATTGAATTTAATTTAATTGAATTGAATTGATTTGAATTGAAAATACACTTTTTCTGGGAAAGAATGAAATGGAAATTGTCTAATTCTGATTTTTTTTAGATTATTTGGATAGGGGGAAAGGGAATAGAATTGAGAGTTTTTAATATCAAAAAGACACTAACACCAGTAGAAGAAAGGGCTAGAGAGATGTCAAGTTCCTGGCTGCTATGAATGCTGTGAAGGTAAGAAAGGCTGACCCTCAGGGCTGAGATGAGTGTCTTAATTCCATTTACCTTGTACTTTCTCTTTTTCTTTTCTTTAATAGAAAAAAAGCATTATTCAAGATGAAAAGTATTTAACCTTAAGTTGCAAAAAACTCTACACTTACCTCTCTCATTTTAGTCAATTATATTCAACATCAGAATTTTTTAAGTACCTAACTACTGTTCTCTTATATACTGCCATATCTTTGACATTCATTTTATTTCCTAGTTAATATTTTCTATTAAAACTATATAACTAAAAATATTTAATGAGTAAAGTTATTGTACATAGTAGATTCATTTTAAAGTATTATAATTCATGATATTTTAAATTTAATTTTTAAATTTTTACCTAATGTTAAAGAGTTTAAAAAAAAATAAACATGCAGTTCTTCTTTCCAAGTTGTTTACTACTAGCTAGATTTAAATGGTCATTAGAGGCACTTTCACTTTTTCTTATTGCTAATATTGTTTTTTTAATATAATATAGCAACATTTTATATAAATAATTTTAATAGTACTTAATATGTTAATTCATATATCTATACATTTTATGTATATTAACTGTTATTTATTTATTATTAAAGAAGTTAATTTTATAATTTGAAAAGAAAAGAACTCTGGTGGAGATGAATAAGGCTTGGCAAGATGAGTGGTTACGAAGATTTCTAATGCATTGTGAAGAAGAACTATAGTAGCTAAATATGGCATGGATGATGGAGGGTAATCTACTAAAGAGAGCTCAAGACCACGTGGGAAAAGCTTGTGGAAAAAGATTGGCCTATGACGGAAAAACTTTTAGGAGCGTATCAAGTGGAAGATTGGTAGGAGGGACAGAGTCAGGCTATGAGAAGATCAGTGGATGGAAGGAAGTACCCTTGGAGTACAATTTCCTCCAATTTATGCCATAATCCAGCAGAAAGACATGAAGATTTGTGATTCTTTAGTGGAGAGTCGTGGTGGTCAGAAGGAATAGCAAGTAACTGTGTTGAGAAATCCCAACGACTGGGACATTAGAGAATATGACAAGTTATTGGACATTTTATCCCTTATTATGTTGGATGGAAGTGTTGACACTCCACTGTGGTCTCTCACATCAAATGGATCTTTCACAGTTAAATCCTTCTACAAGTTATTTAAATATGAAGGTCAGAGACTTATTTTCTCATTCAAACAGACACGGAAGACCAGAGTCCCTTCTTGTGTTTTGTTCTTTATTCGGGAGAAACTATTGACAATTTGAAGAGAATGAGTTAGATACTAATCAACGCTTGTTATTTCTGTAATAAGGCTGAGAAAACTTGTAATCATATTTTGCTTCATTGTCCTGTGGTTTATAAGCTCTAGTAGATAGTTTATGGGCTACTAGACATCAATTAGATAATGATAGGTTGGCGAGAGACAAAATTAGGGCATGAAGGGCATCAGCAACTAAGAGAAACAAGTGAATCTAATTCAACTCACTATCTTTTAGATAGTGTCGAGGAGAAGAAGAAAAAAAAATTTACATGGAGTTGAGGATGTAAATAGTTTTGATACCTTTAAGTTTAGATGGTTTCAGACAGTTGATTTTTTGTTATGGGGTCATTCTCTTTGTTCTTGGAAAATTTGGTAGACCTTATTGATGCTTTAATTGACTTGTAAATTTTTTATATGGACAGCATTCCCTTTGTGCCTATATCAATATACATTTCACACTTTATAATAACAAAAAAAAAAGAAAAGAACTTGATATTTGGATTTTTGAAAACTTGTTAAGGATATTCAACTCTTTAATTCAATATAATATACTTATTAGTTTAAGAGAGTAATTTTATAATTTTAAAACAAGCAAAAGTATATATTAGACCAGTTTTTAAGAGTTCAGTGTAATTTTTCTAAAATTAAATCTATAAACAGAAGAAATGAATTTACTTAACCATTAAAAACGATAAAACATAAGAGTAAACCAACTAACAAGCAAATTAAGAATGAAGAGCCATATATATCTTTAGATGTTATAACCTAAAAGTAAACCATAATAACCAATAACATAAATAATTAAGGAAAGCCTTATCCTTTCCCCCCATCCATTGAAAGGGCATCTGTCCTACCACACTAGATAAAGAACTGAAGAAGAGAAGGTTGCATAAATCAATGCTTCACCTACCTGAATGTTTAACATTGTTGGGACTTGAAAATCCAGAGAAATCTTCCTGCAGCGAAGATTCTCCCACTGCTGTATCACCATTTGATCGAACATTGTTCTGAATGCTTGGAGCTATATTATTCTCTAAAACAGCAGGAGAATTGCTTTTACCTAAGACACAGTAACTCAAGATGGTTAAAACTTAAAATAAAAGATCCTAAATTTTCAGTTCAATCTGATGGCTAAACTCTCAGGAACAAAGTAAAGTCAGACCAACTGGCTTTTGGATGATGTTTCCTTGACCCTTCCATGCGGAGTTGCATCCCCTGGCTGCAACACTTGAAGTATGTATCTCCTGGTTACATTATTTTATGATGGTACAAAGTTTTAACAGGTCAGACTATGCATATAACGA